GTTTACATTATGAACAAAAAAAGAAAAAAAAAATGTTGACTCCGCAAGATAGTAGAATTTGATTGAAACTGTGGTTTATTCTGTTCTGCAGTAGCACTTAACAATAGTACATAATTTAATACCTTCTTTTAAATCTTCCAGATTTAAATTAGAAGTCGTCTGCATCGTGTTCACTATCATTCAACAGAAGAAGGAGGGTCGCGAAAAAAAATATCTCGTCTTCTTTGATAGTTTAAAATGCATAATAAAGGGAAGGTCTCATTTTTTCTTAATTGCAATGCATAAATAATACTTCCATTTGTATAGGTATCAGATGTAAGCCTGAGCAGAGGAATAGGTGGTGCGCTATAATATAGATGCCGCCTTTGTAAAGACGTTATTTTTCAGAGGCTTCTAGCGTGAAATTTACAAAAGAAGATTTGCTAACTCGTTTATATGCCATATTTTGCAGATTTTAGCAAACAGAATTGGCCGCAGAAATATATTGTAGGCAGGAAGGAGCCTTTATATAATTGTTGAGGTAGCCATCCTCCTTAGCAACGACAAATACACGCTGTCGTGTTTGATAAATATTTGGAACTGCATACATTGTAAGCGAAGAAATATATTTTATAATAACATGCCCCATGGTGTCCTTTTTCTTTCTTTTTTTTTTTATTTAAAAGCTAAAGATATGTTCTAGAATATCTGAATTTATTTATATAAGTGCTTTTGCTTCTCTTAAAATTTTTGAAGTCCTCAAACTTTTTATGAAGTACAGTATTCTTTACTACATATTATATCATAGATTAACATATTTGAATATATCCTGAACGTATTTTGACATATTTCAACATATTTCTGGAGATTTTATCATATTTCATCATAAATTAGCATATTTCAATGTATTTTATTGCATCTTGACGTGTTTATGAAAAAATAACCCAACTACTCTCTGTTATAAATTTAGAGCAATCTTCGCACACGTGATAACCCTTTTCTATGTATACTTATATACACCACAGAAATTAAATTAAGCCACTATGGCTTCTCTCAGCAAATCCAAATCTGCTTCGGCTGACGAATGCTCACCTAAGAATAGCAGGACGGACGGAAAATGTTCTCCCGCCAGTGTGGTCCAAGGGGGAAGCTCACATGGCCTTAACTTCCGAAGATTCCTTTTTCCCTCCTTCTCAATTGCACTTCTCGTTGTCGCTATTTATATGTTGCTACTAGTAAGCTATATGGAGTAGAGATTTCTCGAATAAATAATAGCCACCCTCTCGCAATTTTTAATTCTGCCCTTATGTGGAGTCGAATATACGCCTTCTTCCGGATGTTTAGATGCAAAGAGCGGTGCATACATATAAACTATAAATATTATACATATGCATAATGGGTACGACGCCTATCATTGTAAACCTTTTTTAAAAATTTATCGCAGAAGGTAACCCCCCCAGACAGGAATGTCATGGCCCAAATACGAGGAAGGAATTTATCCGAGCTCAATGAGAATGGATGCTTCAGGGAAAAAAACTCAGATACAAATGTAAGTTCCTCCAATTCTGAATCTGATCATGTGTTATCCGGGTCTGATAAAATGGATTTAGGTGAAAATGAAGAAAAGGACTCTTTGGATTCAGATCCAATTATTGAACAGAAATATGAAGAGAAAAATGACTTCTGTAATATTTTCTCGCCCACCTTCTGGGAAGATGCAATGATATCTACTAGCGACGTGACAGAGGAGGAACTAGACCAACTGATCAGTAATATACAAGAAGTCCCTTCGAAGAATGAAATTATCAAAATTTGGAAGTGCGCATATGCTTTAGAGGTACAAACCATGTCCAAGATGCTCATTTCTCTATTTGAATATTACGAAGAGTTAAAACAAAAGCCTCGGGTAAGAGAAAAACTTGCTTTCACTCATTGGGATAGTGTCATGTGCAGTTGTTTTGACGTACTAGCAGAGAGGGAGCAAGAATACAGTAAACTTTTCAACGACTTCATCATGAAAGATGAGTTGACCAAACATGAATTTATGAATTTCTTGAACAATTGCAAGAAGGAGGCTGCTGAATTTAGGGAATCTTTAGAGAACTTTGCGAAGAAACAATTCCATGGAAGAATTATTCCAGAAAAAGAAGACAGCTAACAATTGGATCTGTCAACGGCAGCAAGTTATGGGAAGAAGTGATAAAACGAATTATTCTCCACATATATATGCAAGTGGTTACAACTATCGCGAAGGTTAATAATGTAAAGAAGAAGTCAAAAAGAGCGTATCCATTGCTTTGATGGTATAATTGAGCAAACTGACTTGAAGGAATCAGCATCTCATAATCTTACGGCCTTTCCATCCCAAATGAGAAGCAAAAGAAGGAAAAATAGCGTTCAGGAGTTTTCTATAATATAGCATTTGTGACGTCCCTATCGCGTCCATAAATATCCAACCGTAAGGGAATAATATCTATGTGAAATATAGAAGCTACTCAGATTGGTAGTTTATCCATAAATTAGGTACATTTCTTTGAATTTCTATTTGTAAGGACTGATAATCTTCTCTATATATGTGGCTTCTCTTCTGAGTTAACTCAATTTTTTTAGTTCGTTTCTTTGAAACTTTTGTTTAATAGTAAACATTTCACAATTAGAAATTAGCTCCCACTTTGCTTGGTGTTTACATCCCTTTTAGTAAACAGAAATAATGTATCTATAACTGTAGTTTTCTACGCACATTTGGGAGTGAGCAATCTCAAAAGATAAAAGGATGACCTAATATATGTATTTCTGTATAATATAAAAGTTAAAATTGCTAAATGGAGGAGAATATACCTTTAGAAGGAAAATTCGCTAAAGACAGTACACCGTTTTAAAAAGAGTTAAGACTGTTATTTGGGAATTTTTTTCGAATACAAAAGGGAAGTCTGAATGACGAGTCACAACGTAAACGTTAATTTCACGAGCGTCAATTAGTGAATATACATGGAATAAAAGAGATGTCTAAGGAGGGTGTAGATGTTGAAGAATGATTTAGATGCAACATAAGCCACCGTTACATAATGTCTGTCATTATAAAGTTGTAAAACTATGGTTATTAATGTTACAACAGCGAAGGCGTAATTTGAACACTTGAGAAATGATAAGATATAGCCGAGGAGGAAGGAGGAAGCTTGAAATAAGATGATGTTATTCCCTAGGAAGAGGACACATTGGTTAATACCATATCAGGGGGTTAAAATAAACCAATGTAAATATTAAGATAATACATTGAAGAACCCCCTGCAAGCATGAGATAGCAAGAAACAGTTACGATATTCATGTAATGAATACAGCGTGAAATTATTTAAAAGGAGGGCCCCTAAAAAAGATAAAAAATATTCTGCATATGTATGCGCCTTCTTTAATTTAAATGGGGCGTTATTACTGGAATATTCTTTCTATTAAAGAGCAGAGAATTCATTCTAAATTCCCTTCACATAATTAAAATTTTTCTTATATGCTTCCCAAAATGGAATAAATTATGGCTACATTTTTATGTTAGGGAGTGTTCATTCTTCTGAAAGTGGAAGGACTTTTTGAAGTCCACTTTGAAATTATAATATTAACGGAGCAATCACCTATATAAAAGGAGGAAGAGAAAAAAAAGAAGGAAAAAGGAAAGCGAAGGAAATAAAAGAAAAGAAGGAAAAAAAGAGAAGAGAAAAGAAAAAAAAGAAGAAATAAACGGGGCACCATAAGATGGAATAGTATATCTACCTAGAGACAGCTGAAGAATCTTTCCGTGGCATAATATACCAGATTCTGGTGATAGAGCATGAGCAAATCCTGCTTATCCATGTAGTACACTATGTGCCACTACGAGACGAATATATGAAAGCAGAAAATATGCAGGAGCCAATTCAAGATATAACGGCTTCCGCATCGGAAGAGAACGAGAGCGACACTTCACGAAAGAGAATAACCTTTTAAGAGATTATAACAGAAAAGTAAAGATGTGAGTTTTCACGTACATATGAATACTCCATTACATATCACACAAATAATAAGAAGAATCAAAGGGGCGGATGACCCTGTAATTTGACACATTCCGATATAATACGAGGGTTATCAGAATATATATATATGCGAGTAAGATGAAGCAAGGATGTCGAAAAAATCGGTGGTATCCTTTCTGATGGGTTATGTGATGATGACTACTTAGGGAAAGACACGCCTGTTCCAAAGATACCATATTTCTAAATGTTCCTTTTCCGTGTCAAATTTGATGAATCCCGTTTCGCAAAAATATAACCAGGAAGCTCCCTCTTTTTTCATACTATTAGGAATGCCCTCAATTCCTTCAGTAGCGCATACACTTATTGTTCTCTCATTGGAAGAATAAATATAGAAAAAAAATGGCATAACTTCTATTTACGTTGATAAATGAATGATAGGCGGCTTTGTACTTACAACTTTACGGCAGACAGATCTGATATATAAGTAGTGGAGATCCTGGCCTTCGAGAATGCTTTGGTACTTATATCTGCTTGTTCTTCTTTCTCTTCTACTGTCGACTTATGATTTTCTCTCTAAGGATATTTTATCAATGTGTGATTCCTACTGCGGTGTCTTGAGTTGGTTGTGCCCTGTTTCATACAGAACCGTCCGGGTGGAGTTAAGCATTTTCTATAAATTCCACGTTTCCTTGTGTCCCATAGAAGAGTTTCGCCCCATTTATTAGGTGCAGGGGAATAAAGAATGCAATATGCCATGTTTATCAGTAAATAAAACAGGTGGAGAATAATGTTCTTCGACTTCTTCCGTATGTGTCTAGGCTGTTATGTATAACGAGTATTTAAGAGGACAAGGAAATGGACTATTCTCAGGAGCATTCTGGCAGGATTATAACATATAGCAAATTCAACATTCTCCATTTGGGCATCTCCTCTACGTTATATTTTACGGAACATTTGTCTCCCCCCACATTCAACCCGAAGGGGGCATAGAAACATAGATGAAATATTTCGCGGCCTTCAGATAGGTTCCTCAGATGATGAGTAGCAATTGGTTGGTTGCTTCTCACATGTGTTCCACATTGCAATTTTGCCCAAAAATAGGGTTGATTATCCTCGTCCTTTGTTAAATATTTCACATACCTCCTGTCCGTGCGTCTGGAAGTATGTCTCCCTTTCCTTTTCCGAGTAGCAGTCCCTCGCCTGTTTCTGTCCTCTGTATTTATCAAAGTCCTCTTAAGTCATCTCACTTTAGGGCATCCGTATGAATACCATTCCAATGTAACATCTAAGTATGCGTGTTTTATTTCGCCCCTGAAGCTGTTCTGCTCCAGGTACGTCATTATCATGGCGGTGAGCGCCTCTATGTTATTTCTCCTTTGTCTTTTTTTATAGGAAGCTTGTAAATCTTTGTGCTTTATACTCAGCGTTTTTTTTCTTTTGACATGCCCCAAAAGAATCTGTGTGTATCTGCTATGTTTGGGGACATTTCCATTTCTTCTTCGTTCAAACAGTTTCTTAGGTTGCCGCTCATATACAACTTCACGTGTTCTATATCCTATGGCTCTTTGCATTCATACGGAAGCATCATGAATAGCGGTATCAACAATTCCGTATGTATTACTTCATCTGTAAGTACACACAGTTTGTGGTCATATACTTCCTGTTTGTTTTTATGGAATCCTGTCCTTGACGTGTTATTCTCGTCTGATTTATTACATACTTGGCGGTCTCTTCTTGGTAGAGGTTAATAACTTTGTCAAACGGACCATCTGGAATATGCTGTCTCATATGTATGTATTCTTTTGAAACCTAACTGTCACATATAATTCTTCGCGTTTGTATGAAAGGAGTATGTGGTTCTGCGTTAAATTCATTTCTCTCGAACATTACATTTTCTTGAACACATTGTTCTTCGGTTTTGTGTCCCTGCTGTAAATTGTCGGACTGATTGTTCTCTTTGATCATATCATAGATATAAGAGTATTTATGTTCCAAACTATGCCACTGATGTTTCTGTATATGAAGATTACTACAGCTGTGTGCACCTATTCGGATTTGGTTGCTCATTCATGTATTTTCACATGTCACACCTTCATTTATCATAATCGTGTGTAGTACAATTTCGAAGGAATGTCCCTTGGTCAATACGCATTTTTCCTTCCTGATTCATCAAAGGAGTCCGTATGTATATCTGGAATCTTCTGGGCAGCATATCTTCTTTATTCTGCACCTATAAACTTTTTGGGATGTGTCAATTACATATTAAGTCCTCATATTGGAAGTTGCGCAGTCGTACTTCGTCATTATGATATCATATATCCTTCTTTCTTCTGCACTCATGGCCAGACACTGCTATCCGTATGTGTACCCTTCTTCGGGATTTGCGCTTTCCCTACTTGGAGGCAAACAGCGATTCTGGAGGCATCTATTGCGATAGGGGAAAGAATTGGCATAAGGGGTTAGGTTGGGTTTTCCGATGTCCCGTAAATACTAACAACAGTGTACTAAATGATATTTTCCCCGTCCGCATATATATACATATATCTATACTTCGATAAGAAGGATAACCTATATAATTGGACCCCCGACTGTTAAGATAATAACTGAGAACTAAATAAGGGCAATTCCATCATTATGTACAGTCGGGGGGGCTACACGGCGTGTGAGGTGTGCTTAGGATTGCCAATTTCCCGTCCTGAAAGTAGTAAGCATAATGACCAGGAGGGGAGAATCCATAGCACTCAAGGACATTATGTAGTCCCCACAGCGCGGAATCTATGTGCCGGGGATTGTGAGAGATTTGCATAAACTGATAGGTAAACGACAGATGGAGGTGGATAATAAAGACTGCCCCTACTGAGGGAGAGAATTGGTGGTTATGCCCGTTCAGTAAAATTCGCGGCTGGAGGATTAGATACAGGAAACCTTCATTCTGTACGTAGAGTATCAAGAAAATGAATAGTTTGCACTGTAAGTATACCTTCCGAATCTGTACTTATTTTACATTTATATTTTCCGTGTGTATATCAAGTGTTATTACTTTCGGCGTCTAATCAGTAGAAACTCCTGTAGAGGCCAATATTGCTGCATTCCTAGCTGCTACAGATTCTGGCTTTTAACAGAGGTGCCATGTTTGAGATGTGGAGATAGATATTTCGGAATCCTCATCGGTTCTCCGACTACTTTTTGGTGGGTGGCGTCCTCTCATTAGGGGGGGGAGGCTCTGAGGGAAGTTCTGAATAATGACTGGGGCGTTGAAATATATTGTCAGAAGGAGTAGCTATAATACAGTCTGGTTTGGATGAAGATCTATCAATAGTTGCTATTTCTATAAAATTTTCATTCGGAATAAGGGTATTTAGCGCATGCAGGCACTGTGTTCCCCTATGCCAATGTAATGAATTTGGCATACAGCATTTTTTTCATCGGAGTTTCCAGTGTGAAAGACTTGTGCATATTCCTGTCCCCACAGTATGGACACCAGTCCTACGCTCCCCATTAGGCCTCTGCTTACTCTTTCGTATCAATAGTGAGGATTCACAGGAGAACCAGGTCATCTAGTGATGGTGAAATGGATGACCAAATAACTCTACATATTTACATAGCACATTCCTACGGCGTTCTTCTGGAGGAAGAAAGTTTTGATGAAACATTTATGAAGTACTGTGTAAAATTACCTAGCATATGGTCTGAATAGACACCTTCAATGCGTGTCTTATTATCGTGGTACTGCCCTCTACTGTTATTCAGGAAAGTACAGGATGTGTTTTTATATATCTCGTACACAATTCAGGGTAGCAATGCTAGCGCCCATAATATCGGTTAAAGGTAAAGATTCTGAACTAGTAATTTCCCCTATATTACATTATGTATTATATTGAACTCTTCGTTTTATATAATCTTGCCATCCTTGATATCCTCACCGATAAATTGTATATGCTCTGAGACATCATGTAATAAATACATATTCTTTTATGAAGGAAAAAATTGAGACATTGCGAACATGTCCTGAAGAAATAGGTGGAATAATGGTGTTGCTATGTACATTATATATCCAAGGCCAAAAAATACAGTTTCCAAAGAATCTGCACTTTAGTTCGTTGAGTTTTCAGATTTGGAAAAGAGGCATGGCCTTTTGAATAAAATAATAACAATCAAATTAGCACCATAGGTACTCTTTATAAATCCGTGTTATATTAATAAAGTGTGCAGAACGGATCGCCATGCCGATTAAAGTTATCCCCTTGATCATGAAATAGGGCGTAGCCTCTTAGTTACTTTACTATAAACGGGTACATTGAAATTGAAAGGCAAATGCCAAAAACAACAACAAAAAAAAGAATTGTAACATTAACGGTACGTGCCATGTCATGATACGCCATGTGATAGAACTCAACGGCTTCAGATATTACATATGGATTTATCAGGCACTGTAATATATAACGTTAATTCACACACAGTCGCGGAATGAAATGAAGATACCGCATATAAAGCGCCTTCGTAGTCTTAGGCTGACCATGTGTTTTACGAATAAAGGAGGATATTTATAAATTCTCCTTCTGCTTCGGCTGCTCAGTTTCTTCTGATTAATTAGTTTCTGTTTATTGTTGATCGTGAACTGCTTCAGGCATTTCTGGAAACTATTTTTGCGCGCTATAAAAGTAAGCACACGTGCAGTAATGCCTTGTTAATAATGCACAAAAACAGGCGTGCGTGTAAAAAAGGAAAAAAGAGAATTTAAACAAATAATACATAGCATCTCGTCTCATTAAATCAAATAGAAAGCGTATATTATGGGATTTAATTCCGTTCAAGAAACGTGCCTTTTCGTTGGAAGCGTATGGGGGCTCGGTCATTTCTGGGCGGATCTGATACACTCCTTAGATATTATGAAGTAAGAAAAAATACCCTCCTGGTATGGTGGTTCCAACGATGTGAATCACAGAAAATATACTTCTGTGGTCTGTATGATATTATATGTAGAACCACAATTGGGAATAATATGTGATATAAATTAATTTTTATATATAATTTTCGAGGAATTATTTTATGAGGCTGAGGCTAAAAAAGGAGGAACTGCGTAATTCTTATATTTCGTACAACATGACAGCACAATAGTAAACGAAGGCGTAGACTCAATGAAGTGTACGAATATTTCATGTTTCCGAAAAAGAATGTTTCCTCCATTTCAGTGTTTTTAGAAATTCTCCCAGGGCATCACGAAATAAAACATGCCAGAGAACAAAAAAAACAGAGGCGCTTTGCAGTGTGCGATATTTTGCTTACTACGATGTATATGTCACGATTACTCTATGTACACCTCATACTAATGTTCATCAGAGGAAAAGGATCACAGGAGAAAAATAGGAGCAAATATAGTCTCTACGGAATACTGAATAATATAGCAGAGTCCCCCACTATACTGTTCGGATTCGGTGAAAAAGTCATTTTTTATTATTCTTCACTAGCTCATTACGTAACTCAAACTATTTCTATGGACATAGTGAAAGACGAAAAGAAGAGTGATGAGTCGTATTATAGATTTATCTCACTGCAGGGACGGGGGTAACATTATCTGGTTTCTGCTGTAAATAGTCCTGTGTGACCTGTATTATATTCGAATGTTCAGCTGACCGTCTATATTCTTTTCATGCGCAACGCAATTAGCTGGATAGTCCCCAGTCTTCAGTACACAATTGCTGGTATTGTATAATGTGTAAAGTATAGCATAGTAAGAGACGTATATTTACGGAAAATTTAATTTTAGCATAGTGAAGGTGGATAGAATATGTAACCGCCACAATTTTTAACAGCATAGAGGGTTCCAATTAGGTGGGGATAATGTAAAAAAAATTAAGGTTGGAGACCGTTCCGTCTGTTAGTATAAGCGAAGTGATAATTTTTCCTTTCGATGCCATTTATGTATGGCCGCTGATTGGTATAAATACCAAGAGGCATTTTCTTGGTTCTATTATATCCTTATCC